TAATCTGTATTCCAAAGGTTAGGGGGTTTCTTATCTCCATTCGAGGGATTAAAGATTATGTAGCTTAAGCAGGATTGTTCGTAGTTAAAGTGATTAATTACCCGCCTGGCACTTAAGAGGTTTTATTCCCTCCCAAACTTCAGGGGAAAATCCCTACCTGGGGAAACAACCTTTCTTGGAGAGGTGACCTTGGTTAAAACACAGCGCCAAGAAGGTGAGCAAACATATTAAGAACAGTATGCCATATATGCCAGGTCCCTTGAAACAGCAGGATGGACCGGCTCCCGGCAAATTCCCCCTTTTTTATTTTTTAAATGATATCGCATGTAAATCAGTGGTCACCTCTCAGATTGGGTTGTTTAAGACTCGGAAGAAGACTGACAAGCAATGATAGCGAGCATAGCTATAAACATAGTGGATGGAGCACAGAAGGAGCCCCATTCCTGTAGAAGGTTGCCAGCCTCTTCAGTCAAGGGATTCCAGCTGGCCTCAAGTTGTTCGTTTGATTGTCTTTGTTGGTCTGGTTAGTGGTCGGCGTCACTGGCGACGGGCTTCCCGAAGCGTCAGCGAGTTGAAGGGCTCTCCATTCCAGGGAGTAAAGATTTAAGCGTGATTGTTTGTAAAACAGTATGCCATATACGCCAAGTCCCTTGAAACATATGCTGTGCAGATGTGTCTTCCCTGCAGTGACTGTGTCAAGCAGCAAGGATGGACCGGCTCCCGGCACCTGCTTCCCTCCCAGGGTCCTGTGCAGGGAGCCTGTGGCAGGGCAGGAAGGCTGCGAGGCAGGGGGTCCCGAGTCATGGCTTTTCATGGCCTGGCCCGGGCCCCTAATGTGGGCAGTGGGTAGGTCGACCCCAGGCCCAGCTCCCTCTCCTGGTCCTGCAGGAGGAGGACATCTTGGTCCGCTGTGTGTCTGTCCTGGGCAACCTGGCCGACCAGCTGTACTACCCCTGCGAGCACATCGCCTGGGCTGCTGATGCCAAGATCCTCCACGTGGACGCCGCCCGGTGGTGGGTGCTGAGCACGGCCTTCTGGGGGCTCTCGCTGCTCCTGGGGGTTGTCAGGTAGGCATTGCCGCTGCTCCCGCGGGCTGGAGGGCGGAGCGCTCATTGCTGGTGCGGTTGGCAGACAGACGGGAGCTGTGTGGTCTTGGCCGCCCTGCTATTCCTCTTGCTGCCACCTCACTGTGTGCACCCGACCACAGCAGGACTCAGCCACCTGCACTTACCCGGCCGCCCGCAGCCCATGGTGCAGGGCCAGGTGGGCCGTCGGGGCGGGTGCTCTGCAGGCCTGAGAGCCCTGGGGGTGCACCAGGGCTGCCTGCGGCTGGCTGCTTCCTCAGCCTGCAGATGCTGGCCCTCAGAGCCCAGAAAGCTGCCAGGACCACCTCCCACAGGCTGGTTGGAACCACTCACGGCCGAGCTCGGCACCCGTTAGGGTAACCTGTGGCCGAGCGGCAGGTGGCAGAGCCTCCTCAGGGCCCGCACTGCTGCTCTTGCCCTCCGGCAGGGCCCCTCATCCTCTCTGGTGTTGCAGGTCCCTGTGGGTGGTCCTGAAGCTGAGACAGCAGCTGAGGAGCCCTGCCGCGGCCGTCACCAGGTATTTCCTGGGGAGAACGGCCAACTTCCCTCTCACAGGTCCCAGGAGTTCCCCAGCCCCCGGGGGTGCTCTGAGTTGCCAGCATTATCAGCCCTGTCGCTGCACAAGGCCCGGGGGAGAGGGGGCCCTAGGTCACCGGGCTCACCACAGCCTCCAGGTGACGGTAGCACCCTCACTTGTGGGGACAGTGAGGCTTGCTCGAGGCCCACAGGCAGGACACAGCAGCCAGGACTCGGGCTGAGTCCTCACGCTGCACCCGCAGAGCAGGACCGGAGGACCAGGGCAGTGTCCCTTTCTCCTGGGAACCACTGTGCCTGGCGCAGGCCTGGGACCTGCCCGGGGCCTGTCCTGCCCCATCCCTGACTGGTTCCTAGGGTCAGGACTGAGATGTGGATTTGAGACTTTCCACCCAGGTCTGTGCCCTGGTCACGTGGGCTCCCTCTGCAGGTGACAGGATACCTCCTTGCTCACAAACAGGGTCTGTGGTCACTCCCCCCTCAACCCCCCCGCCCGTCCGGGCCAGCACGGGCACCCCGGGGCCTGCCCTGAACGACTCCTCTTTGACCCCACAGCCAGCGGCCCTGGAGCACGCAGGGGGCCGTGGAGGCCCGGATCCAGTCGGAGCTCCTGACTCTCCTGAGCAACCTGGCCGACCTGGCCAACGCCGTGCACTGGCTGCCCCCGGGTTTCCTGTGGGCAGGCCGCTTCCCTCCGTGGCTGGTGGGCCTCCTGGGCACCATCTCCTCCCTCCTCAGCGTGTTCCAGGCAGCCCGGGCCAGCGGCGGGGCGGACAAGGCCGCCTCCTGACCGGCCGGAGGCGCACGGACACTGCCGGAACCCGCTGAGGGCCTTCCACGGACAGAAACCACCGGGCAGGCGGCTGGGTCTTCTGAGCAAACCAAGGCCAGATGCGGGGAGCTGCCACCCAGAGAACACAGGGCGTGACCTGGGGCACGAGCTCAGTGAGGCAGGGTGTGGTGGGCTGAGGTCCCCGGGTGCTGGGGGTCTGGGCCCTTCCGCCCAGGGCTCCCCCCCACACACTTGGAGGAGGTGTCTCTCAGGGCCAGAGCAGAGGACTCGGGACTCCCGTGTAGACGAAAAGGCCACAGCGGCCTAAGCAGAGCCTCACTCCCGTCCCTGGCATCCTGTACCCAGGTGGGCAGGCCAGGATGGCACGCGCCAAACGGGCCTTCGGAAAGCTGACATGAGAATCAATTAAAACTGTGGTGCTGCTGCGAGGCCCAGGGTGAGTCCTTTTTCCTAAATTCACCAGCTCCTTGTCCCTCTCGTCCGCAGGCCCGCTCATTGCACGCCCTCTCCCTGCACCTTAGTTTAGGGGGGGCGTGCGGTGCCACCTCTGGACGTGACGGCCCATGTGCCCGGGTGGCTTCTCAGGGGACAGAGCTGCAGTGGGAGGCCACACCTCCCATGACCCTTTCTGGAACCTCTGGCCGGTGGTCCTATCCGGTGAAGGCTGCTGGGGCCTCCTGCCAGGCCGCGCCCACATCACTTCCTTCCTCCTGATCATTGGGAGGTGCTTGTGGTCGAAGCAGCTGACATTCAGCCACCGCTTGGACCAGGGCCATCATCCCTTCAGGCCAGTCCGGCACCTCGTAGGGTCCTCGCGGGCCGGCCGGTGTCTGAAGATGCCGTGGCACTGCCTCCACCTCAGGGAGACATGGCAGGACCGGTGCGTTTGTTTTCAGTCTGACATCTGCAGCCGAAGTGCGTGCGTGTGGCATTGGTAGATGATGCCCAGCCTGTGCCTGCGCCTGCGCCTGCTCCTTAGTCCAGCGGGAAAAGGGGATCAGGCTCTGCCTTACGTCCCCAAAGTGCCTGGAAGACTCACCAAGACCTGTGCTTGCAGTCTGAGGCCTCATGGTTTCAGCCTGATGGCTCTTTTCTGGGAAGATACGTGGGTGGGAACAGCGGGGATGGAGGGCTGCTCGGGGTGACATGGGGTGCAGAAGGAACCCCACCCTACACTGGCTCAGTCCCCCCTCCCTATTGCAAGGCCGAGCAGCTGGCATGTTCCAGCGCCCGAGGAGCCAGCAAGACTAGGTGGGGCCGGAGCAGCGCCGCCTGCCCGTCTGGAGACTCGGGGAGCACATGCCAGCGCTGCACGAGTGGGCGAGCCACGTGGACACCTGGCTGTGCCACACCAGGCCCCGGGGCTCTGGCTGCTGGTCAGCCTGGGGGCCAGCGCTGGCCGGGCTCAGGCACACTGCTGGGCAGCTGAGATGACCCTGCCTGCAGAGTGGCCACACCCCTGCCCACTGCTAGGTCCTTGGTGGGGGGTAAGGCGTCACTGGTCCTGGGAGCACGTCCGTGGCAAACGGCTCAGGGAGCAGGGGGCCGTCACCCCAGGGCCACAGGGCCAGGCTAGCCAGGGTGGGAGGGCGTGGCGGCATTCCCCAAAAGCTGACCTGCATTGGGGGGTTCACTCTGGGCCTTCTGCCTCTACCTCTGACTGTCCAAACAGGATCGTGCGGGGACTTCTCAGAGGAACAGAGCAGGCTCCGCTCCCCACAGGCGTGGGGTACAGGCAGCTGGTCAGGCTGGTCCTGAGGCTGCCTCCCTGCACTCCCCACCCCAGCTACAGGGCAGGAGTGGGGCAGCAGCCGAGGGGGCTCCTAAGGTGTCGTGGGCCCACTGGGGGGTGGGACATCAGACTCTGGTCCTTAGGCTCCTGCAAGACCCTGGGTCTGGTCAGACCTCCCTCCAGTTCTCCTGCAGCACCTGGCGTGCGGCCCCGCTGGCGAGGTGAGCCTGGGGGAGCCCCACCAAGAGACGACCCTGCCGCAGTGAAGGAAGCCGCTCCGCCAGCTCGTCTTCAGACACCTTTATTGCTAGAATCGGGCTTGAGCTCTAAGGCAGTTCTGAAACATCCCGCATGAGGACATGCTGCGATCATAGCATCACTGGGTGGACCGACATCATGTCAAAGTTACCAAAGATGTACCCAGATCCCACAGGAGTAACACTGCTCAGCCGCCAACTTTACAGATAAAACCGGGCCCTACCCAGGAGTCCCCGCAGGCTGCTGGCCAGAGCATGTGCCGGAGACCTGCCCGCTGCATGGCCTGAGCGGAGACCCCACCCCACGCCGAGGAGAAGCCTTGGGCATCTCTTCTGAGGACCTGGGTGCCTGCGGCCAGGAGAGCACTCGCCACAAAAGGACAGGGAGTAAGGAGATTCTCTAAAGTGCTGATTCGTCCCAGTACAAAAACACCAAACACTGATTACAGATCCAGCACAGACAGGCTCGTGTCCAGGGGACGGAGGACACGTCTCTTTGGTCCTTGCTGATGCTGCTGGTCCCGTAGGCAGAGTTGGGGGTCAGGGCCAGCGGGGGCCGGGGCCGGAGTGGCTCTGAACGGCTGCTGTCAGCTCGTCACTCACTGGCTGTGTCACTTGACCCTGTGGTGCCCCAACTCCTGGGCAGCCCAGGACCCATCCTGCCAACGCTTCAGGAGGTGCTGGGCTCTGGGCTGGTGGAGGGAGCCTGGGATGCAGAAAAGTGAGTCATGTCCCCTTCCTGCACCGGCACCCGAGCTTGTGTTTGGCCAGAGGTGGGACGTGGCTCTGGCGCAGTCACCACCCTGACATGTGACACCACCCCAACACCCACAGCCTTGCGAGTGGACTGGTGGCCCTTGCCCTCTTCCAGGGATAAGGGGACAGCCCGCTACAGCAGCTCACTGGATGTGTGGGTCTGTGAGGTGGCCACCTGCCCACTGGAGGTCTCCAGGCCACATGTGCTCCCAGCGTGTCACCTTCACCGGCAGCGCCACCACTCTGCTCTGTGTTGTACCTGCATCAGCCCATCAGCACCGGAGACCAGCCCTGGGACTTCCTCTTGGAGGCTCTGGGAAAACCAGCTCATCTCATGGGGACAGAGGGCCCCCTGCTGGGGGCTGGGACTTAGGGGCGTGCTGGCCTGGCCAAACCTCTTGATTTGGCTTCCCCAGGCGGAGCATCTGGAGAGCCACGCGGACTCGGTGAGGTGCCTGGGAAAGCACGAAGATTGACTACAGCAGGTTTTAAAAAACCCACTAAATTAACATGGGTTCCAGTCAGACCCCTTCGAGGTGAGTTCTGCCCTAAAGAACTCACTTGAGTACAACTGGCCATCCTTCCAGCCACTCTGCCTGGGGGCCTCTGTCCCCGGGGCTGTGTATGCCCTCGCCTTGCCTGTGCCCTCGCCTTGCCTGTGCCCTCGCCTTGAGGCTCACCATGAACCCATGTGCATCTCGGCTTCGATTCTGCCGAGGGAGACAGCTGACACAACCTGGCCCTCCTGCTGCCCTAATGACCAGTCCAGCCCATGTCTCCTCCTCCTCAGACCGAGGTCTGGCCCGTTGTCAGGCTCCGTGTGGGACCCCCAGTCTGTCACTACCTGGGGAAACTGCTTGGAGTGGGTCTCTCCCTACCCAAGCGGGGGCTGCCATTAAAATAGCTCCTCAGTTAGCTCAGGTTCAACCTTCAATTAAAAATGTTCCTTTTTGTATAAAAAAAGGCACCACTGTTGATCAATCCTACAGCAAGAGCCTGGAGACGACAGGCGGGCCCCGGCCCCGACCCCAAGCCTGGCCAGGTGGGCATCCACGGTGGTGTGCTGGGCAGGGGGAGGGCAGCCGGCGAGTCCCAGAGAGCACAGCACCTCAAGCCGCTGGCCCTAGAAGAAGATGACGTCTTCTTTGCTCACTTCTTCCTTGTCGAGTGGGGTAAGGGGCTGCGGCACGGGCAGGAAGGGGGGACACTCAGGGGATGTGTCCTCCACGGCTGGGCTGGGCACCTGGCAGGAGAGGTCTGGAAGACAGAGGATGGTGGTGTCGGCAGCCGCCAGGCACTGCGGAGGCCCTGTGCCTGGGTGGCTGGGCTCACCTTGGGGGGAGGCGGAGCGGTGGCTGCTGCGCCGGACGGGACTCAGTGAGCTGTGGCTCCGAGAGGCAGACTCCTCCTTGCCCGTGAGTTTGCTGAACAGCTGCTGCTGCTGCTTCAGGTCGAACGAAGCTGACGGAGGGAAGAGGGTGCAGCCTGGGTCTCAGCCCAGCTCCCGCACATGGCAGCCCCACCCCTGCTCTTGAGCACTTCCCAGGACACGGTTCCAGGGGGACCCCCTCAGACAGTAAGCCCCAAATGCAGTGACACATAATGGGGAGAACAGCCCCAGCTGACCCCAGGAAGCCCCTAGAATAAGCCAACCTCTGGACCCAGTCCTGGGACACAGGCCCTGCTCTGTAGGTCCCAGGAGGGCTCCCTGACCACAGCTGTACACTCACAGCACCTGAGGGAGCCCCGAAGCTGTGTCAGAGACCCCTGGCATCGTCACCAGTGTCCCCGAGTGACTAGGGTGCTCTGACTGCTGGCCTCTGGTGCCACCCACAAGGCCCCCCAGGCCCTTCTTTCTGAATTGCCAAGACACGCCCTTCCTGGTCCAGTTTGAGGACTGAGGTGGAACGGACCTGGGGTCTGCCAGGCCCATGTGGCTTCCAGAGGATAAACCTCCCCAGGGTGGGGGAGGGGCCTCAGCGCATGGCCAGCTGCATCTCCCGGAGGAGGAGGGGCTTTGGTGTCACTAATTGCCCCTGACTGGATCTCCTAGTCCAGGAGGGGCTGGGCCGGCACTGGAGGCCACCGTCTCCCAGAGATCACCTAGACCACCTACTCCACAGACGGAGCTGGGCCCCACCCGCCACACCCTCCCTCAGGCACAGAGCTCACCTGAACTCTCACTGCGATGGGAGCCCCTGCTCTTGCCGCCCTTGTCCTTGCCGCCCTTGGTGAAGGCCGCCAGCTTGGTGGGGATCTGCTGCTGCACGGCCGCCTGCCTCTGGATCTGGTTGGTGGTGCTGAGCAGCTGGGGCGCTCAGGGCCTTCCAGCCCCTCCCCGTTGAAGCTGGGGGAGTGGCTGGGGGACTGGGCCTAGAAGAGGGACAGACACATCCCAGAGATGGTCCTCAGGGAAGCCCTTCCTGGGACGGAGGGGAGGTGCTCTCCTCAGCACCGCCCACTCCCAGGGCTTTGGGGAGAGCCTTGTCCACCCGCCCGGAACCTGGGCCCACAGCTTGCAGCCTCTTAGCTGGGCCGATGGAGCTGCCATTCGCTGCCTGTCCCCTACACACACACACACACACACACACACACACACACACAGCTCGCAGCCCCAACACGGGCCCTTGCATGGTGACACACATGCCCTTGTCCCCCGGCGATTTCACGCATGCGCTGCCGCAATGCACCCACACCGGCGGCTGCCTGCTCCCTCGCTCACCTCTGTGGGCAGCTCAGGGGCCCCGGGC